AAAAAAAAAAATGAGGTCCATTCAAGGAGCAGACTCTCCAAATATTGGCCATTGGGTACTCTCCCATCATCATAGCCTTGGGAGATGCCTTCATTCTGGTGCTTCATTTTCAGAGTGAGGCTAGATGATGTAGTCATGTTAAGGAATGACTTCAAAATAAACACACACAGAAGCTTCATTTCACACGCAGATACACAAAATCCTAGGTCCAAAGTAGGAATCCGATGGAAAAGCCTGAGCTTTGCCTGTCAACTTTGTTTACAAATCTTAACCATTTGAAGTGCAATGCTTGGAAGCAATGACGAAAGCATTGACGGTAACTGCGGGTGTGAGGCCTAGTCTAGACGACTGCAGATGGAAAGACTGAAGAGTCTTTAGCAGTTGGATCTGACGTTGTCCATGGCTGTACAGATCTGTGATTCTTTGCATGGGGTAGCAGCATGAATTATAAACACTGAAGGAGGAAGGCGTGCCAAAGGGTCTACTTTCCAGTGACCATACTTCAAATTTTTATTCATTTATTCATTCATTCATTCATTCGTTTATTTGTTTATTTATTTATTATATGAGTGTACACACACATGCCACAGTGTGTATATATGTATGTGTGTGTATTTCTGTGTATGTGTATATGTATGAATATGTGTTTGTGTGTGTGTGTGTTGTGTAGATCAAAAGACAACTTATGGGAGTTAGTTCTCTCTTTTACTATGTGGGTCCCAGAAATTGAACCCAGGTCTAAAAAAAAGATGGCTGTTTGGCGCTTTGCCAGTATGCAAAAAAAAAAAATTGATATAGATTTTTTCTTTAGCACATTAAAAACCAATTAAGGTGAGATTATAGATGCTATGAAAAAGGTCAGGACAGGAATTTCTTCTTATTTATGCACAACATTTGGTATACAGGCTCAATAGAGTAGTGCTCAGGAAATAGATTTCTGAGAAGATATGTGGAAAGCCAAAACCACAAAAAACACACAAAAAAATTTTAAATTTAAAGATATTTCACTGTACTTCATATTTAAAGACATTTATCACTGTATTTAGTGTGTGTGTGTGTGTGTGTGTGTGTGTGTGTGTGTGTGTGTGTGTGTGTGACATGTAGTGCTCTGCCATGTTTAGGAGTCAGAGGACAACTTTCAGGAGTCAGTTTTCTCCTTCTACCATGTGGGTCCTGGGGAAAATTACTCAGGTCACCAGCCTTGATGACACACGCCTGTGCCCACTGAGTCATCTCATTGGCCTGAAATGCTGCGTATTTACTAGAGAAGTAACACGGTTAGTGAGGGTGTGGTGCAAACCTGGCTGGGTTCTTGTCTTCGCTGTGTCTCCGACTGCTTGTGAGACTCACAAGCCGTTGCTTCCCTTTCAGGAAAAAAAAAGAAGAAAAGAAAGAAAAGCCTTGAATTTTGGTTCCTCATACATAAAAGGATGAGTTAAGTCTGGTTCCATGTTGTATTTTACAATGATTTTCACCAGTTGCACAGGAGACAGGACTTCCAGAATTAGCAAGTAAAACCACAGGTGTCTGGCTGGGAACACGGCTCCCAACGTGGGCAAAGTGCTTGTTGCAGAATTGTGAAGACCAGAGTCTGAGGACCCAGGACACACACATGCAACTTGTGGTAGTGTGTCTGCAGTCCTAGCCTTATTACAACACAGGGGTGGGGAGCGGGGAGAGGAGAATCTGTAGAGTTCAGAAGCCAGTTAGCCTGGCATAATCAGCATTGGGCAACAAGACTCTGCTCCAAACAAGGTGGAAGGTGAAGACTGACATCCAAGGTTCTGTGTGTGTGTGTGTGTGTGTGTGTGTGTGTATGTGTGTGTGTGTGCATGTGTGTGTGTGTGCATGTGTGTGTGTGTGTGTGTGTGTATGTGTGCATGGTGTGGCACATATATGGCCTCACACACAGAACTTCCCCCACTCCCCACAAGCACCCATGTGAATGCCCATGAATACCCTTCCAGATAGAGCCAGGTCCTCATGGTTCAGGTTAGACATGTGAAGTCATTAAACTAGCCACACTGTCCAACACCAGAACTCAGCACAGCTGAGTGGAACAGAACCAAGCAAGGCTGATGGGTTTGGGGTTCTAGGGTTATAAATATAGGTTAGAAACTTCACACCATTGCCCAGGTCCCCTGACACTTTACCATTGAAGGTTAAGTGGGTTTAATTACACAGCTCCTTCTCCCATCCTTGCTTCTTTCTCACACTGTAGAAGATATTTTAGGAACAGAGAAAGGTTAATGGGCCTGTGATGGGGCCTTGAATTAACTTCCTTAATTAAGCCTCCAGAAGACATCTTTTCATTTCTCTTAATGACCTGTCTTGGTTAAAAAAGACCCTGAGCACCTGCCGCTCTGTATGGGCCTTGCTTCTGTGAGACCACAGCTCTGCCTGAGACAATGCTCCAGAGTCAGACACACACAGTTCCCAACAATAAAGTGGAATTTGGCAGACAAGGAGAAGAAAAAAAGCAGCTCAATGAAAACTTACCTGGGTTGATTTTTAATCAGTCTAGAGGTTAGTTCCTCCACTCCCTCCTCCTTCTCCTTCTCCTCTTCCTCCTTCTCTTTCTCCTCCTCCTCCTCCCCTTCCTCCTCTTCCTTCTTCTTCATCTTCCTCCTTTGGTGTTACTGCAAAATTGAACCCAGGTCCAGGCAACTGTGCTACCACTGAGTTACAGATAACTGTGCTACCACTAAACTACAGATCTACTCCTTTTTGTCACTTTCTTTAAATTTTGAGAAAGAATCCCACCAAGTTACCCAATCTGGCCCTGAACCCACTCTGGAGCACAGGGAGGCCTTGGACATATGATCCTCCTGCCTCTGCCTACCAAGTAGCTGGGATTATAAATCTACACTCCCAGGATCAGATCTCAATTCTTTTCATTTGGATCCTCAGAATCTCATTTACCTTTCCTAATAGCATTGGAATAGAAAATATGGGTTGATAGAATTCTTACTCTTCAGAGGTAGTTAATGCTATAGGAGTGTTTTTTTAATTATTGAGATTATATTATGATTACATCATTTATCCCTTCCCTTTCCTCCCCCCAAATCTTCCCATACAATTCTCCTTGCTCTCTTTTAAACTCATGGCCTCTTTTTTCATTAATTGTTATATGCATATAATATATACATATATGTATGCATACACATATGTATAAACACACACACACATATATATACATGTATGCATATATATATACATACATATATATATATATATATATATATTCCTAAATACAACCTCCTTAGTCTGCATCATGTTACTTTTGTGTATGTTTTCAGGAATGACCATTTGCTATCACATAACTGAGTGGTGTGTTCTTGCTGGGGAGGACTATTTCACTCATTTTCAGCATTTGCTAGTTGCTTAGTTAAGGTCTTGTGGGCTTTTCTCTGTCTACTTTGGTATGCCTGCTGTTTTTGTCCTTGCTCAGCTCATGTTTAGGCAGCCATGTTGAAGAGGCTTTAAGTATATAGCTCCTGGTATTGCTAGGAGATGCAATCTCACAGAAAGCTCTCGGCTCCTCTGGCTTCTACAGTCTTCTGCCCACCTCTCCTGCAGTGTTCCCTGAGCCTTAGGAGCAGAAGTTGTTTTGTAGAAGTAGCCATTGGGACTGAGCGCTGCAACTCTGTATTTTGATTGGTTGTGATTTTTCTGTAATGGTTTCTGCTGTAAAGAGAAGTTTCCTTGGTGAGGGGTAAGGACTACACTTATTTGTGAATATAAGGACAATTATTTATAATGTTGTTAGAGTTATGCTGGTTTAATACAGTGGTGGTTAGAGGTTTTCTTCTAAAGTCCAGTTTCATTAGCTATGAGTAGTTGGCTAGGCTTCTGGTACCAGGCATGATTTCCTCTTGCTGAGTGGCTCTTACGTTCAATCAGAGAGCCATTGGTTACCATGAAGGCATGCAAGCCACTACTGCGCTCTTAGGGTTATCATGCCATGCTGGTCATTGTAGTTCACAGGCGTTACAGCTGGATAGAATTTTTGATTGCTTCCCTCCTTTGGAAGCTTTGGAAGCAACTTACATGGCGTCTTCTTGGTATCATGAAAGCTAGTCCTCAGGAGGAGGCATTCATGACAGTCCCTGCCCAGGGACTTCTGGGCCCTATGTCTGACTTTTATGGTGTCTTCAACAATAGGGATTTAGCTTTCACCACTGAGGACAACCAAGAGCAACAACAATTGCCTGTGATGATTTGAAGATCTCTTGGGTAACCCTGATCAACAACTCAAAAGGGGGCTTCTCATGCCTGGTGTTGGGGTTTTTGTCAGATGGTCTTTGGCTGTCAGAGAGAGCATTGCCAGCCCAGATGAGAAAAATTCACTTACACGATATATGCATGTTTACACACCGATTTACATGTATTATAGGTGTTTTAAGGTGAATAGTTACTAGTATGTTTTCTTATGACTTTTTCAGACACCCTTACTGTTATTTTACCTTCTTCTTCTGCCTCTCTGCTCCCTAATTAGAACTCTCACTTTACCCCCATTTTCCAGACCAGATTCAACAGCGTTTCTTAATCAGATTTAGCTTTGTAAGTTCAAAGGTTTTTGGATTTGTGGATTCCTGGGTGAGATTTGGGGGCACTGACATCTAAGTCTCCAATTCTTGAGTTGCCCAGAAGACAGTGCTACGTACTCCCATCTCAGAATCTTTGTGTATATGGATACAGTCTATAAGAGAGCTGGATGGCTTCTGTCTCCATTTCTCCAAGTCTTCTTCTGTCCTGCCTGATAACAGAGTTGACAAGAGAGTACACTCTATGCTAAACAGCTTCTTCTTTCTTTCAAAAGAGAATTATTTTTAGTATATTTATCCCCGCACCAGTGTGTGTGTGTGTGTGTGTGTGTGTGTGTGTGTGTGTGTGTGTGTGTGTGGTTCCTGAGGAGGCTGGAAGAGGCTGTGGAATCCCCTGGAGCTGGAGTTCCAGGCAGTTGTGAGCTGTCTGATGTGGGTTCTGGAAGCTGAATTTCAGTCTCCTTCTGGGAGCAGGAAGTGCTCTTAGTCGCTGAGCCATCTTTCCAGGTGATGATCTCCTTACAATGATCTCGGAACCAAGACTGAAATTTAGAGGGTTAATATCTGAACTTGGTGAATTTGAGAGAGTAAGCTGTTTGTGGGAAAGGGCCTTTAGAAAAGAAAATCCTAAATCTGGTGTTTCCGGGAGTTCCTTCTTCTAGGTAATGCAGCAGTAATGGCTCTTGCTCTGTGTAGTTGCTTCAGCGTATTAATGGGCATCTTGCATCATCTTTCACAGAGCATTTAGGAGCCTGGATATCCAGGAGAAGTCTATAATCAATCCTTTAAAACCACTCCTGATCTTCACATTTACACTTTATGAGTAGTTGTCACCACAAGGCATTTTATACATCCTCTCGTGTAATTCTTCACATCAGCATTAATTAAATACCCAGACCTAATGAGAACAGAGTAAATGATCGTATGGTTATTTCTCTCTCCTGTTCAGAACAGGGCTGCAATGAGCAAGTGAGTCTGCACAGGGTGGGCTGGATGGGGAGGTGGCCAGGTGAGTGTGTAGCTAAAGAAGCAGACAGCGCTAGACAAGGGACAGGGGTTCAGATCTAGCTGAGAAAAGGTAAGGCTGTGGCATCTGAAGGACAAGGCAACCAATACAGTCAAGGCGTGGGTACTAGGGTCAGTAGTTGTGACAACAGAAAGCAGGACAACCTGCAGAAGCTGTCTGTGCTGTTCTTTTTCTCATCTATGAACCACATCCAGTTCCTAGGAAAGCAATTGCCAAGTTAAAGCTTTTAAGTATACGCAAAGTTTCCAGAATGTCACCTGCTATATGATAAGGTTGGATTTATGTAAAATAAAGCTACAATTATTATTTCCAATACACTTGGGTTTAAGGTGGGTTTGAGACCTCACAAATGGTGAGTGGAGATGTGACAGAGAATGTGAATGTAGCTTGACTTCTAAGGAGAAAGCTGGGCTTTATTGTGTAACACTATTCCTGTGTAAATGTGAATACAATAGATAGGAAACCAATGAGAGACTAAAATACAGGTATCGCCAAAGTCAATTAGTGAACCCATGAGCTTATGGGGGTAATTTACAGGAATTTGGGTGAAGGTTTACTTACAAAGCAGAAATGACTCAAAGACAGCTGAATTACTGAAAGTCCACCCCAGCAGGGATGATAGCTCATGAAAGCTGGAAATCTGGAGCACACTGAACAACACACAGGCATCTCAACAGGCTGTGCAATGTCCTTTCCAGGTGTCTCAGTTGATCTAAGTCTCTTCCAAGCAGCACAGCTGTCCTGAGGGTAACTCTCAGGGGATCTTAGTGCTTACATATGCTTGAGCAAGGAGGGTCCTAAAGAACCTGGTCAGTTTCAGGAACTTCCTGGAGCTATTGAGTTGTTTTCTTCCTGAGCTTAAGGTGCTTCTGTGTAGGATAGAATGTTTCACTTCCCTTTAGAACATCCCATGGAATTTCCCTCTGTGGTGGAAAGTTTTATCTCAGGGGTATTCACTATGTAGCCATTGGAAGTTCCTGAATTCTTTCTGTCTATTGAGTTGAATTTGCAACAGAGTATTTGGTTACCTCAATGTGGAGATGTGGAGGATTTGAGATCAGGTTTCAGTTTCTGGACCCTTTTTCTGCAGTTGACCTGATGTCTTTATTCTCTTATGATAACACTATCAAACCCCAAGGGCGAAAGTTTAAGGACCATTTGAGTGCATTTGTGGGGCTGGCATTTATGGTTTTTCAAAGTCCCAAGAAAATGGGATTTGATTGTACTACCGACTCTAACATTGATGTTGATTTATGTCACAGATGATCAGATATTTGATAAATGGTGGGAGAACATCTTTCTTTAGAATAAAAGAATAGCTCACACAGGAAACTTCTACAATTAAGAACTGTTGTGAGGCTATGGAGATGGCTCAGTCAAGCACTTGCTGTTCAAGTTAGGAAGATCTGAGTTCAGATCCCTATCATAGACATATACAGAAGCTGAAGGTGTTGGTGTACACCTAAGATCCTAGCACTTGGAATGCAGAGACAGGAGGATTCCTAGGGCTTTCTGGCTATCCAATCTAGCCAGTCAGTTCAGTAGGAGACCCAGCTACCACCCTCCCCCAAATGAAGAGTGATTGAGGAACGTATCTGACATCAATCTTTGGTCCCCTAGATACATATTCACACATGTGTACATGTACTCTTACTACACACACACACACACACACACACACACACACACACACACACACACACACACACACACACCAATTGTTATAACTCCTGAATATCCATCATTCAAGAAATGAAAAGAGTTTTGCTTTGAGACAGGGTCTCACATTGTTGCTCAGGCTACCTTGAAACTCACTATTTATCTTTAGAGTGGCCCCAAACTCATGACAGTCCATCTGTCTTAGACTTCCAAGTGCTTAGATGACAGGTATGTACAAACCCATTACACCTGGCTCAAAGCTCAAAGATTAATCCTCTGAAACCATTCACTACATCTGAGGCTCTGTTTATATTTTTCAGTTTCCAGGGGTAATGTGGTAGCTATTTTGCATGGTAACTATATCTAATGATATAATCCAATCAATATTTATCTGCATGGTAACAATAGTAGTTATTGATTCTCAATATACAAGATAGCAGGATTCCTTTAGCAAGGAGAGAGGTATGTTCAAAACACTAAGTTCATGTGTGTGAAAAGCACCACAGGTAGGGCAAAGGTGAAGTGCTGCTAGGCACTAAGGAGGCTTCCTCTGCCTCAGTGGTGGAGAATCATGATGACAAAGGAAAGGTTCAAAAGGGAAAGAGTCATATGGTCATGGAAGAAAAAAATTGTCTGAGAGCCAGGCGGTGGTGGCACACACCATTAATCCCAGCACTCAGGAGGCAGAGGCAGGCAGTTTGAGGCCAGTCTGGTCTACAGAGTGAGATCCAGGACAGGCACCAAAATTACACAGAGAAATCCTGTCTTGAAAAAACAAAAACCAAAAAACAAAACAAACAAAAAAAAAGAAAGAAAAAAAAAACAAAAAACAAACAAAAAAAAAAACAATTGTCTGAGAGAAGAGAGGTTAAAAATGATTGCTCACTATCGAGGAGGCCTGGGCTAAAAAAGGTGGCATGGAACATGTGCTAAGGGTCTGGAGGGAAAGTAGGAAAGTGGAGGAATTTGGATTACGCTGGTAGGAAAAATATACCATTATTAAAAATCTGGCAGGGCATACCTAAAGGACTGACTTTGTAGGATATTAACGACTTAAGAAATCTGGCATTAAGATCTGATTTACTTTTCAGAATGTTCTTCCTGAAGACAGTTTGAACAATGAATTGGACAAGAGCAAAATGCCACACAGAATGTCCATTACTAAAGATTAAAGAACTTTTCAATGTTCATGCTGTAGACGACAAGAATATGAACTAGGATTAGAAAATTCAGGAAGTAAGCCCAGAAGGACTTGGTGACCGACCACATGTCCAAGTGAAGGAGGGATTCCTTAATGGCCAACATAGCAACTAGCAGTTCTCATAGTCCGAAATGTCTACCCTCTGCCTTGAGGTCTCCACTAATGATCAAAACCAAATTCTGCTACAAAAGATAGTAGAGGGAACAATAGAAGGAATAAACCTGCAAGGGTAAAAATAGAATTCACTTAAAGGGAGCTCTGGATTGCATTTGACTCGTTTCTTTCTCTATTTACATATCTCAGTCTGGGGTGGTACATGTGGATGGACCTATAGATAAAGTCACAGCTTAACAATCTGAACGTTTAGATCAGTGCTTTTTCAAGTCTAAGGTACATTCAGAATCATCTGAGGATCTGGTCAGAATGCATGTTCTTATTAACTGAGTCTGATTGTATGAAGTGAGGGACTGTGTATGTCAAAGAAATCCCCAGTGATTGCTGATACACCTGGTCATACTTTAAATAACAAGACTCTACATCATTTTGCAGGGAGAAGTAAAATTTGTTAGTCCAAGAAAATTGCCACAAGCAGACAGTGCAGTGGAGAAAAGCAGTGAGTCTTAGCTGTGGGTGTAGGAAATCTTGCAGCCTTTGCTTGCAGACCTGGTCTGAGTGTGGTCCCTTGGGTCGGGTGGCCATTCCGAGAAGAGAGTTCAGAGAGCCATCCACACTCTGTAACACCAATGAGGTTGTTATGGTGTCCCATGAAGAACCACAAAGGGTTTTTCTCACCACACTGGCCCTGGCACATCCCACTGAGTAAGCAAGCCCAGACTCAAGTCTGAAACTGACTCCAACTCACTGGCTTGCAAACAGTACCATCTAGCCAGAGTGGAATAGAGTGGGTTTTGTTCACCTTGCCTAAGGTTGAAGACTATTTGGAGCCCAGTTTTATAAGAAGCCATCTGTACCAATTTCAGTATTTATGTACTTGTCACCAGAGACAAACAAGGCTGGAAATTTATAAACTGGCTCCTTCTAACCTTATGAGTCAACACTCTCTTCCACACTTGGCCCCTACTCCCTGACCATGAAGCATTTAAGTTATGGCTGTTTGGACACGTCAGCTCTTTAATTACGGGAGCATAAGTGCTAGGACCGAGGACCAGATGCCGGCTTGGCACTGCGTGGTGGGAGAGCGGCACTGACAAATGGCTCTGGGTGGCGCAGACCCAGGTTGGCCCACTCTGGTGCCCGAAATAGACAGGAACGCTTGCTTTAGGGAGATAGCCCTGGGCTCGGAGCTGCGAGAAGTCTGGCAGCAGGGAAAATACTCTCTTGGAAATCAAGGCACCAGATCCAACGTGGCGAGGCCTGCGTCGATGGCTTCTGGATAACCTATTTGTCGTTTTTGGCTTCGGCGTCTTCCCGAGAAATGGAAAGAGGAGCCGTGTCACTTGTCCTTAGACAGTTCTCTTCAGTGGCACGCAACTCCACAAGACGGAAGTGTCCCTTCGAGTGAGAAGTTTTGTGATTTCCCCATGAGCCCCTTTTATACTCGAGACCCTCAGAATGCTCTAGGATGAGGTCCCACCGAAAGAGTAAGTAAGAAAGTTTGAAAATACGGAAACGTGGCAGCATCCAGCTATTGTGTTTCTAGGCTTTATGCCATCTGAAGGAAATTGATTTCCTGGGGCTTAGAGAGACGGCTCTAGGGCACATACTGCTGTTACAGAGGACCCAAGTTTGATTCCCAGAACCCATGTGGGGTAGCTCCTGTGACTTCACCTTTAAGGGATCCAATGCCCTCTTCTGGCCTCTGTGCCCACTACCCTTACCATAGAAACCCACACTCAGACACACACATAAAAACATAATTTTCTGAAAAATTAAAAGTTTCCAAATGTGATTTGTGAAAAATCAACTGCAAGATTAATTTTGGTAATCTAAACTAGACCTAATACACTTTTCATTTTAAGAAAAATATATTTATGCGACTTCCTGCTCATGACCCAGGGATACTTAACTTATGAAACTGTGAGGCTTATCTATATCTCAAAGTGTTTTCTCTGAGTAGCCTGCAGCCTTAGCAATTCATTCCAAATAGGTTCACCTGGCTTCATTAGTCGTCACCGTGTATTTCTACATAGTGAAATTCTTTCTGAGGACTGCATTAATACAACAGTCACTGTGTTATCACCTCACCTCTCTGATGGCTCCATGGAGGACTGGCTCACAGTGTATAGGCCTACAAGGGCTAAAATGCCTAAGAGCAAAGGCCAGCTGAGTGGCTGCTTGCACACACCTGCCTGAGCCATGGGGAGCTTCGCAAAGGATGCGCCTCTGCTGTACTGACAGCAGTGGACTGAGAGCAGCAGACAGGCTTGCTGAGTGACCAACCGAAGAAGCGTTCATTCATTGATTTGCTGACCCCATTGCAAAGCTCATGAATTACTGGCTTTTTCTTTGGACAACTGAGATGAAATTATGCATTTTCTTAATAACTATGCTTTTATCTTGATTCATTTGGCAATTTGGTGCTGCATTATTACCTGGCATGGTAGATCTATCATATTCATGTTTTTTTGGAGGATACTCTCATTAGTTAATTGTTTTTCTTTACAGAATTCACTTCTTAATATAGAAAAATGATAAAACCTGGTGGCTTCTGACAAAAAGGTGCACTCTTTGAAAATTAACCAAGTATGATTAGACAATATGAGTATGATTCTCAAAGATATCATGAAATACAGAAGGATTTTCCCATGCACCAAAAATTATTCATTATTGAACTAAATCAGAATATAAAACACATGCTCACAGTTTGAGTTTGTTTGGTTATTTTATAGTCCAAGTTTCTATCTATTATTGAAGTTTGACATTGACCATTAGTGATATTGATGGACCGGAGAGATGGCTCAGTGGGTAAAGCATTCACTGCGCAAGTGTGAAAACTCAGTTTGGATCCCAAGAACCCACTTCAACAGCCCAGCACAAGGCAGAATATCTCTAACCCCAAATCTCTGATGGGAAGATGGGAGGTGGAGGCAGAGAAATCCCTGTAAGTCTGCCAGCTAGGGTGGTATGCACAGTGGGGGGAAAAGAAACCAGAGAGACCATGTCTCAGTCAAGGAAGAAGGCAAGAACTGACAGCTGAGTTTTTCCTCTGACCTCAGCACATGTGCCATGCAGCTACATCTATGCACATGAATGTGTATTACACAGAAACATGTCACACACACACACACACACACACACACACACACACACACACACACTGATGTCAGAAATGATTATCACATTGGATTCAGCATCCTATGGGCCTGAAAGCATCTCCAGAAAGTGCCATATGTTTATATCTTCTAGGATATGGGAGGACTAGCATTTTGAAACACAGCAGAAGAGAAAAGTAATTTATAAACTTAGACTCCAAACCTGAGGCTATGGATCCTAAGAATCCTTTTCTGGAGTTCAAAGTGTCAATAGACCCTGTCTGTCTAGCTAAGCAAACTACAGGTATGGTCACATGAGATACTGGGGGAGAGAAGAGAAGAAGCAAGGATTTGACCTTGAGTCTCTTTGGGGTTTTCATGCTCACATTCAGAAGGACTACAGCACCAGCCTCTCACATCTATGTGACCTTTGGTGTTTCTTGCTGTGTTCACAAGGGTAAAGTGTCACACATATAAGATGGCTTCCCCTCAGACTGCTATGACGAAAGCTTAGCATGGAGACCATGCAGACTGCTGTTTGGATCTAAAGCTCCAGCTGGAGACATGGCTCAGTGCTTATGGGCACTTGCTGCTCTTGCAGAGAAATGGTTAGAGACAATGGTCTGTAACTCTAGTTCCAGGAGATCCAATCTTACAAACACAGAGGATCCTCCAGGGGCAGAACCTGAGAAGTCAACCAAGTATGGGTTGAAAGTTGGGGGTGGAAAAATGCATCACTACTGACAAGATGTAGATTTCTGTTGGTCATATTTTCCGAAATAATGCAGTGTGACACTGTGTGCATAACATACATAGTACATGGGGAATCATACGTGATGCAGAAGTGATTCAGGGTGTGGAGGAGAATGTGCAACAGCTACACACAAATGAAGGGGGCTCGTCAGTTAGGTTCCCAGCCAATCTGCCATGAGACAAATACTATACCAGTTCGTATACGGACTCGAGTCCCCATGAATTCTGGTGTCTGCAGAGTTTCAGGAATGATTTCCCAGTGTATACTAAGGGACAACTTTATACAGCGGTGCACAAGGGACATTGTGTGGAGGTATTTCATTTTATAAATCTGAAGTTAAAACAGACGAAAGCAAAGCACACGGCACTACTGCCTATATGCAGCAGATTTGGCTTTCTTCTTGATGATGTGGAAGCTGTTTGAAAATGTGAGTAGGATATCACGAAGTGACTATATTTGAAGTCCACGTGGCTTCCATGTGAGAAAGAGAAGGCTGACGGGAACTGAAGAAGGCAGGGAGATCCTTGGCTGATGATTGAAATGCTACCAATGAAGAAATGCAGAAGTGTTTTGAGCTGTGGTGGAACGTGGCCGCAAAGGCTCAGATCTTGAATGTATTTACTGATACGTTACAGTGTGATTCGAGGGAAAGATTAGAGTCAAGGCTGATGCCAAGCATTTGGATCTCAGCCCCAGGAAGACTGCAGTTGGTACTTTTTAAGGTGAAGAAGACTGGGGTAAGAAGCTCCGCATTCGTGCAAAGTTAAGTTTTGGGTGTGTGTTAGCTGCCCAAGTATAGACAGAGTGGCAGTTGGGCATGTAAATCAAGATCTCAGGGGACAATACTAGAGCAGGAGAGAGAAATTTGGCGATTGCCACACAGTTAGAATTTAAAGTCAAGAGAGTTAGATCATACAGAGGAGGAAAATAAGGCAAGGTCTTGAAATGGAGCCTCAGGACACTTCAGTGGGGGAAGTCAGGATGACAGGTTGGGGTCAGCAAAGAGGGACAAAGGGCAGACAGATGGAGAGTGGGAGAGAGGTGCCACTGAGGCAAGAAAGTAAGAAGTGAGCAAGTTTGTCAAATGTTGCCAGTAAACCAAGCAAATCAAGGGTTCGGACTTGTCCTGGGCCAAAGCAGAGGTCCCCTGATGACAAACTTGACAGAAGCTGTGGTGCTGAGGAGACTGGAATGAGTTCAGAAGAGCATCAGATGAAGGATGGAGATGGTAAGAACAGACAACATGTGCTGTTGCCTTTAAATACCAGCTTGCCACAAGCTAGAA